GAGTTCCAGAAAGCACCATTTGTTCTCAAACACACCTCAGGGTGACTGGCACACACCTTTAATCCCAGCACTTGGGAGGCAGTGGCAGGCCGATCTCTGCGTCAAGGCCAGTATGGTCAACAGAGTGAGTTCCAGGACAGACAGTCATGGCTACACAGAGAAATCCTGTCCCGAAACAAACAAACCAGGATTGGGCCTGGAGAGGTGGCTGAGAGTGAAGAATACTGTTTGCTGTTGCAGAGACCTGTGCTCAATACCCAGCACCTGTGTGGTGTCACAACTGTCTGTAACTCTAGTTTCTAGAGATTGGACACCCTCTTCTGTCTTCTTTCAGTATGTGCGCACATACACATACACACATGATACGTAGACATACATCCAGACAAAACACCCATAGACACTAAGAGAGACAGAGTCAGAGAGCCAGGTGTGTGTGTGTGTGTGTGTATGTGTGTGTGTGTGTGTAGGTGTGTGTGTGTGTATGTGTGTGTATGTGTGTGTGTGTGTATGTGTGTGTGTGTATGTGTGTGTGTGTATGTGTGTGTGTGTGTGTATGTGTGTGTGTGTGTGTGTGTGTTGCCACATAAAATTTCAGCAGAAGCATAGGCAGACAGATCTCTGAGTTTGTGAGTTTGTGGCCAGCCTGGTCTACATAGATAACTCCAGGCTAGCCAGGCCTATATAGTGAGGCCCTGTCTCAAAACAAAACAGAAAAACCAAAGCTGGAGGGTTGAGCATCAAGGCAGAGATACGAGGGTTTCTGTGATTTTAAAACCAGCCTGGTCTACTTAGCAGCTCAGGGACTAGGACACTTGCCTGGCATATGCACAGGGCATTAGTATCTGTACCTGACAGAGCAGGTAGTGCTGTCTCCATGGAGTTTCCTCACTCTTTTGAACAGGAGGAGGGAATGGGGTACAGGCACTAAGCCCTGTAACATGATCCCGGCAGGTACAGCAACATCTTTCATGTCTTCATCCGCATCTCGAGAGAGGAAGGGCTGAAGACCCTCTACTTTGGGTTCACACCCACTGTGCTGGGCGTCATTCCCTATGCAGGACTCAGCTTCTTTACCTACGAGTCGCTGAAGAGCCTGCACAGAGGTAAGGGAGGTGGAGTGAAGAGGAGGGATTTCAGGGACCCCACCCATCCAGAGCGCAGGAGCTTGGATTGTAACCTTTAATGCGTTCACTCATTTCTGTTCGGTTCTGTAGAAAGGGTCTCACTATGTGACCCAGGCTGACCTCAAGTTCTTCTTGCATCCAAGCAAGACCTTAAATTCCTCCTCATTCTCCTTCCTCCACTTCTCTAGCTGTCTCTCCACACTAATCTCATGAGGTGCTGGAGATAAAACTAAACCCCAGGGCCTCTTGCTTTTAAGGGAAACACCCTGCAAATAGGCAGCTCCAGTCCCCCCAGGCGTTTTTGTTAAATAGTAAGTATCTGGGGAAGTTGAGGCCTCTCACTGGGACTATGGGTGGCATTCCTGAAATCACTTCAAAATCTAGGAGTGGTGGGTGCCCCTGTGATCTGAGCGTTCAGGAGAATGAGGCAGGATTGCTGCAGGAACAGGGCCAGCCTGTGCCACATAACAAGACCCTGTATAAAAAACTGAAGTCTGTGGGGTGTCACACTAGCACACGGTCCTTGAGTCCTTCTATGTGGTGGTACAGTGTCAGTGTACCACCTCCACAGCTCACCTGCGGCAGCAAGGCAGCCGCCCGCATGCGGAGATGCTGTGTGTGTTCAGCTGGCAACAATGACAAGAAGAAAGTCAGCACACAGCACAAATACAGGATATTAAACCCCCTTCATTTAGCTGAGTATGGTGGCTCAGGAGACTGAGGCAGGAGGATGGCATAAGATGGAGGACAGCCTGGACTACCCAGGGAGACTGTCACAGACCAGAAAGTGACGATAGGACCTGTCCATCCAAGGGTACCTGAGCCTGTGCTCCAGCACCTGCAGGTGCTTGAGGACCCCTGGCCGCCATGACCTAAGACTCCGCAGCAACGTGCTTGTCTCTTCCTTTCCTGCCGTGTGGGCTGTGCTGGGCACTTGCTCTATGGAGCACTGCCCGTAGCCCCCAGCAGGACACTAAGATAGAGACCACATTCTCCCAGCTGTCCCCGCACATTGCTAGAGTCTCATTATTTTACTGAGGTCAGGCAGATGTACATCTTCCATGGAGGAGGACACTATCTGGGTAGCCCTGTACTCTTAAGGGTTCAAGTGTCCATAGAGAATCTTGGGATGCACCCCCACAAATGAGGGGGCACTGAAAACTGCAGGATGGGGAACTGTGACCTTGTAAATCTCATTGTTGCAAAATGTGTCTTTTATTAGGCTGGGTCTTGGCTCAATGGCAGATTCTGATCTGGCATACATGAAATCCTGGGTTCCATTCCCTGTACCAAAACTAAGAAAGGGTGGTCAGGAAGTGGGGCCTTAGACTCTGCAAGTGTGGCACTCATGTGCCCTCTGCCCTGCAGAGTACAGTGGCCGCCCGCAGCCCTACCCCTTTGAGCGCATGGTCTTCGGTGCCTGTGCTGGCCTTATCGGGCAGTCAGCCTCCTACCCTCTGGACGTGGTGCGGCGGCGCATGCAGACGGCAGGTGTCACAGGCCACCAGCATGGGTCCATCCTGAAGACACTGCGCTCCATTGTCCGTGAGGAGGGTGCAGTGCGGGGCCTCTACAAGGGCCTGAGCATGAACTGGCTGAAGGGCCCAATTGCCGTGGGAATCAGCTTCACCACTTTCGACCTCATGCAGATCCTGCTGCGCCAGCTGCAGAGCTAGGCCCACACAACAGTGGATGGTGAGCTGGTGGATTGAGGGCATGCAGCTGTGCACTGGCAGCCCTGGTAGTACCTTGAGGATGGGCAGGAGGGTGGGACCTGGCTTGGGGATGCAGGGCCCATAACAAAGTGCTGGCCCTCAGGGTATGACATTGTGATGATGGATCTTAGTTGTGCCCCTTCCTTCAGCTCCTTGTTAGTGGCTGGTGAGTTTCCCAGGAGCATTACCCAAAGGTCTCTAAGGGGTCAGCTACACTTCCTGACCCCTTCTTCTGACCTGCTGCTGATTCTAGTGCCCACTGGCACACTGGGCTCAGAGCCCATCCCTTCTTGCTACGACTGTGCCTGGCCTGCAGATGTGATGGCCATTCCCTCAAAACCACACAATAGAGGGTTGCAGCTTGCTTAGTGGTCTCAGTCCTCTACCATGCTTGCTCATCCTCTTCAGGTGACAGATGGCTGCCCTTGCCCACAAAGCTTTCTCCCCAGAGCACTATACCCATCTTATTTCAGAGGGCTGCACCTCACCTTTGCCAACCACCTGGCTTGTAACCTTTCCAGGAGGCCCATGGCCACCAGGCAGGAGAGGCAGGTACAGACCCCATTGGAAATGCCCATGTGGGTCTCCCTCACCTGGGATGTCTTCCAAAGCATGTCGCCTGGGCCCCCAAACAGGCCCAAGGCTCTTGTTTGCACAGCACCCATGGAGATGGGGTGCAAACTCCTGAAACTGCCCAACCCTGAACTCTGGGTTTTCTGTGGGTCCCTGGTCCCTACTGAAGCTGTTATTCAGCCAGGCCAAATGAAGGCCCAAGATGGGCAGCTCGGCCTGTGTGAATGAGTGCAGAGGTGTCTTGGGTACCTAGGGACCACCAGCCAGCTTATCTCAAGGAGAACTCTCCTGGGGTCCCCAGGGACTTCATGCCTTTCTTGAGGTTTGGAGTTCTTGATTTGGGGTCTTTGAGACTGCACCCCCTAGAAGCCCTGGCTAGTGTGCCCTCAGTGTGCTGCCTGGGCTAGCTTCCAACTTGCAGCAGCCCTCCCACCTCTAGAATCTGGTTTTCAGCGCATCCTGGCACACACAGAATCCCTGTGCTTTGGCTCTGGTGAGCTGGTGCTGGCTCCCTCCCACAGTTGGACGGCAGCCATCTCACTTAGGGGCTGAGCAGGGCGGCTTGACCCCCAGGCATTTTCAGGTTGGACTGCGGTCCTTCTCATTCCTGTATTTCTTACCTTATGCCTGTGATGCTCAGCCATCTCCCCCTTCACAGATGGTGATGGGCCGTCCCCACCATGTCCCCAGGCACCCAGCAGCCTGTGGTGCTGTGAGAGACCATTCCCATCCTTGTGAGAGTACTGCCCACTCTGTTACTTGCCTGGCCGCTACACTGAGGTAGAGAGGGCAGGTAGCACCGGTGGGTGGGAGAGGTGAGGGGGTCACATGTCCCTGATCTGCTTCCCCACATACCCCCCAGTAGCTCTGGCCTGGGGGCTCTCGGCCTCTGTAGCTGCCATCTCCTATGGTCACTGTCCAGTCTGGAGTTCTATTTTGATGCCATGAAAACTTTTTGTTTATATATAATGTTTATATATTTTAAAGATTTGTGCCAAAAGAGTATATTTAATAAAAATTTAAATAACTTTCACTTCTCACTTCTTCAACTCTGGCCCCTCCCCCATGCTGTGAACTTCAGCCCTGAGACGGGGCTGAGGCTATTAGGCTCTCTTAAATATTTTGTGTATGGGTGCTTTGTCTACATGTATGTCTGACTGAATGCCTGGTGTCTGAGACCAGAAGAGGGTGTGAGATTCTCTGAGCTGGAGTTACAGATGGTCATGAGCTGCCATGTGGGTGCTGGGAACTGAACCTGGATCCTCTCCAAGAGCAGCCAGTGCTCTCAGATTGCTGAGCCATCTCTGCAGCCCCCTGGTCACCCTTGTCAAGAGAGTTGAGGTTTCCAAGATGTTGCCCAAGCACTGCGCATCTTTCTGCTGGGAATGGAAGTAGTGATGGCCAAAGTTGGAGAACTGGGCTGGGGTGTAACTCTGCAGTAGAGCCCCAGTCTAGAATCCCAGAGATGGGCTCGGGGAGTGGATCTGGGGTAGAGCACTTACTGCTACACAAAAGATCCTGGGTTCCTTTGCCAGCACACACACACAAGCAAGAATATAGTAACCACACAGCTGAATCTGCCAATAAAAAATGCTTCGTATATTTATTTATATATCTGAGATATATAATCCAGGCTGACTTCAACTTCTTGCATAGTGCCGGCTGGCCTGCCTCTATCATTATTGGCAATCATAGACATCAGCCACTGGAAAGCAGCCCAGCCCCCGACCAGCCAGGTGCTGGGGTAGGACCATCTGCGGTGTGTGCCCTCCACGCCCTCCACTCTGAAGTCACTCTCGGGTCTTCCAGAGCAGAGCCTTGGTTTTTCAGGATTGTCTGCTTTTTGCACCCCTGCAGGGCATATCACCCTTTGTTTGCCCATCCTTGATGCCTATGGAACCTTCCTCAAGCTCCCACAGCTTTGTGCCAGTTTGGGAGCCTCTCCCAAGAGTCAGGAAAATCCCGCGGGTTCACAGCGCACACGCATTAGTCATGTTTGCTGCAGTCATAAAGACCTGAGTTCATAAGTGGACAGAGCAACACACGTGCAATCCCAGCACCACTATGGCAAGGTGGGAGGTGGAAACCAGAGACGCCCTGAACAAGAGACCTTGTCTCAAAGGTAGAAGGCAAGTCCTACGGGCTAAGCTGTCCTCCTAGCCTCTCACAATGGCACCTGTGGGCCTGGACAACAGTCACATTCCTGAGTCCTTTCCATCTCTCCAGAGTGAGCCCTCAGGGCTGTGACAGCACTGCTCCCGGCCATTGGCAGTGTTACTAGGCTGCACTACAGGAGGCCTCCATTTTTATTCTCAATATACATTTCCATAGGTAGGAGGGCCACACAGCACATGCATGTCTCATGAACATGTGCACATACAGTCACAGGACCGGGACAGCGCTGGAGTTGGTGGTGACCCTCAGTCAGCAGTCACCTCACAGCATCCAAGGCTGGTGACAGTTCTGAATTTCCTCTCCCCCTTGTTTTCTTGCTTTGGAGACATGATCTTGTTACTAGTCTAAGCTAATCCCCCTGCCTCAGCCTCCCCAGTGTGCTGGGAAATGGGCATGGTGACTTTGTCTCATTCCCTCATAGTGATAGACCCCAGGGACACGTGGATGCTGGGCCTGAGCTCCGCCCCTAGCTTTCTGGCAATCTCTAACCTCCTCCGTTTTTCCACTCCTGCCTAGTATCACTCTCCTAAGCCCTTCTCACCACCCAGGTCTCCCCTGCTTATCTCCCTAGCCTCTGGCATATTTCTGTAAAAGTGGCCCACCCCTTTTATTGAGAGCAGCCTCCCCCTGACATCCTATACACACATGCAGGCATGACATCCTATACACACATAGGCGAGCAGCCTCCCCCTGACATCCTATACACACATGCAGGCCAGCACTCTAGCGTGCACACACACACACACACACACACTTGAGGACCATGGCCTCCAGGTCCAGGGAACCTGATTCAAGGGGTCTGTGATCTAGGCACTGAGGTGAGAGATGGTGGTGAGTTTCTACCCTTACCCCTAGGTCATCTAGGGGCACTGAGGTGCACACACAGGGGATGGACAGTTCCAAGCCAGTGCCTAGTGGCATCACGCTAGGAAACTGCCAGGTGCTGGTGGAAATAGAGGCCGAAGAGGCTGGAGAGCAGCTGGCAGGCAGCAGTCCACCAGATGAGGTAGGCCAGCACGCCACGGAGTAAGAGGGGCGTAAGCAGGCCACCCAGGACCCCTGCGACTTGGGCCGCGGTCTGCTGGGCTTCATCCTCCGCTGGGTTCACAGAGATCAAAATGTCTGAAGACTGGCGCGGGGTCAGTGGGGTTGGAACAGGGCCCAGGGTCCAAGAGTAGCCGCCTGCAAGAGGGAAAAAGGTGGAGACAGTGGGGGTCTACCAGTGCTCATACCCAACCCACTAGGTTATACCCCACTGACTTTAGGGGGCCTCCATCCTCCCCTGTCTGCTGGCCCCTTCCTGTCCCCACAGGAAAACTGTCTGTGGCCTTGACCAAACTCCGCCCTCACTTTCTAAAGCTGGCCCCACCCTTAGCCCTGCTCAGATCCTACTACCAGCTTTTATCTGAAGGCCCCACCTTACCAGATCTGGCCCCACCCTCTTTCCCCACCAGCCCCCGCACCCAAGGTCTTGAGCAGCAGGGTACAGTGCAGAGTAAGGATGAGCGGAGTCAGGTACTGTAGGCTCACCACGGTCACATAGCAGTAGACCCGGACCACCTGGTGGGGAGGCAGTAGAAGCTGCAGAGGGAGTGATCTTCCCAGGGCAGGGACCCCACAAACGGGCCCCTTTAGCCCAGGAACTGTCCCACTCGGGGTGCATACCCGCTGCTGAATCTCACGGGCCTCAATGCGGCCAGCCTCCTTGCTCAGCTGCTCCACTCGAGTCTTGGCCAGGCAGAGGTAGGCCTGCAGGTGTGGCCGGGTCACGGCTAGCCGCAGCAGACACAATGCCACCAGCACCCAGAGACGCAGGGAATCGAAGGCCCCTTCTGACGGCCTGCAACAAGAGCCAAGCAGGCAGGGATTTGGGGTGAGCCCTCGTTCCCCAGGCCACAATCTTTGCAGTTCATCCCTGGTCTCAGACACCCCAGGTCCCTCAGTGCCCCGCCCTGACACACGCACAGAGAAGAGGTCATGTTCCTCATGGGTGCCTGGTATAAGAAGTCACGAGCGATAGGCTTTGTCCAGAGCCACAGGGTGCACAGGGGCGACAGGAAGCTGGTGTGCAGGAGCAGCCTGGGGGGAGTACAACGGTGGGGCCAGTCTCCTGACCTCCAGCCTCTAAGGCAACCCCCCACCGCACCCTGGGAGCCCCGCCTAACTGCAACAGCGGCCGGTCTGCAGACAAGGTCAGTGCGTCCTGGTGCGTCTGCGCCAGCCTCAGGCCTGGGAAAATGAGGAAGGCGCCCAGCAAGGAGCCCAGCATCGCCAGCCCAAGGCGGATGACCAGCTTGATCATCGGGAGTCTGAGAAGAGAAGGTCTCAGGGAATCCACGATTGGTCAGAATTCAGCCTGGGGAGGCTGTGATCCTCCCTCTACCTGTACCTCCCCTCAAGATCCAGTCCCCAGGACTCACGCCCAGTCCCAATCCTGTTTCTTCAGCACAGGTTCCAGGTTCTGGGTCACGCTGGCCAGACCTAGAGGAAGAAGATCAAGTGTGTAGATTGTTAAGGTTTCCAAGGCTGGCCAGCCTTCCAGCTCCCAGAAGCTACCCAGCTCTGCCTCCACAGTGTGGAGTTTACAGGCATGGGCAGCCAATCTCCACCTTTGACATGGCTGCAAACTCCCGTCCTCATGTTTGCGGAGCAAGTGCTGTCACACACTGCCCGAGCCCCAGCTCAGGCAATCTATTTTATCTTTTTTTTTTTTGGCCTGTGAATGTTTTGCCTGCATGTATATCTGTTTTCCATGTGTGCATGGCACCTGTGGAAGTTGGAAGAGGATATCAGATCCCCTGGAATTGGAGTTACAGGTGTTTGTTAGTCTCCATGTGTTTGCTGGGAATTGAACTCAGGTCCTCTGGAAGAGCAGCCTCTTAACCACTGAGCCATCTCTCCAGCCCCAGAAAATCTATTTTAATTGCACTTATATTTTCCCATGCTGGAATGCAACCCAGAGCCTCCACATGTCCTGCGCAGGTACCCCATCACTGAGCCACACAGAGACCTGCTAGGTGGAACTCTTCAAGAAATAGGACCTAGGGCTGGGGAGATGGCACAGAGAAGGTACTGGCTGCTTTTCTAGAGTCCTGAGTTCAATTTCCAGCACCCACATGGTGGCTGGAAACCATCTGTGTAATGGCATCTGATTCCTTCTAGTGCGCATGAAGACAAAGCATTCATATATGTAAATAATTTTTGTTGTTTTGTTTTTTGAAACAGGGTTTCTCTGTAGCTTTGGAGCCTGTCTGGCCTCGAACTCTCAAAGATCTGCCTGCCTCTGCCTCCCAAGTGCTGGGATTAAAGGTCTGCACCATCACCGCCTGGCAAAAGAAATAAATCTTAAAAACAAACAAACAACAACAAAAACGACTGGAGAGCTGGCTTAGTAGTTAAGGGCGCTTGCTGCTCTTTCATAGTGGCTCCGGTTCTGGGGGTCCAGTGCCGTCTTCTGGCCTTTGCAGGTACTTCACAACCCCGATACAGAGACACACACACCATGGCAAAGCACCCATACATATGGAATAAAAATAAGCCTTTAAAAATAGTAATAACAGCCGGGAGGTGGTAGCGCACACCTTTAATCCCAGCACTCAGGAGGCAGAAGTAGGTGGATCTCTGTCAGTTCAATGCCAGCCTGGTCTACAAGAGCTGGTTCCAGGACAGGCTCCAAAGCTACAGAGGAACCCTATCTTGAAAAAACAAAACAAACAAACAAAACAAAAAATAGCTATGACATAAATCTTTTTTTTAAATCTGTGCATTGGTGTTTTGCCTGCATTAGGGTGTAGGGTCCCCTGGAACTGAGTTGCAGACAGCATGTGGGTGCTGGGGATTGAACACAGGTCCTCTGGAAGCACAACAGCCAGTGCTCTTAACCACTGAGCCACCTCTCTGGACCCCGTAATAATACACACCTTAATTCCAGTATGCAGGTGGCTGAGGTCAGAGGATCCCGAGAGCTCACGGTCAGCCAGGGCCATAGAGTGAGACCCAGTTTCAGAAGAGAAAAAGAAACAGAAAGTGAACTCAAGCAGGGAGCACACCTACCTGGCTCCAGACCCAGCTCCAGGAGCTCCTCCCGCACCACCTGCACTAGCATGGCTAAGAGCAGGAAGAGGAGGGCGGAGGTGAGGCAGACTGCGCGCTCGCCGCCCTCTCTGGCACTGAAGTACAGTCGGGTCACCATGAGGAACACCTTGCTGGAGGTGGGGTTAAGAAAGCCAGGGACAGACTAGCAGAGACAACTCTGCAAGAACTGACCTTGGGCACCTAGAGTTTAAATTTGAGGTGTGGGATCAGGTGAGCTGGGGTACTGGTGTTTGGTTGGTGGTCTAATGACCTATGAATGATCAGAAAGCATTATGGCAGCTGCAGCTGGGGAGGAGGGGTAGTGAAAAGCCCACACTGTTTCTTCCTTAGGGGGACTCTGCTGGGAATGGAGCCCAGCCTCTCCTGGCTGGACCCAGGGGCCTCTCCGTGCATGCTCAGTCAAACCCACCCCTCCTCACCCAGTCGCCCATACATGTTTAAGAACCACACACTCGTTGCTTTCATGAAGCCCCTTGAAATTCTAAGGGGCGGCCCAGGTTGCAGTCAGCCATGAAATGTCCCCACAGACCTACATCCTGGGCACTGGGTGATCCTCTGTGCTCTCACTTGGTCCCAGGCATCACTGGGCCTCTGCTCTCAATGTAGAAGGACAGATCTTTCCCAGCTCCAAGCTGTCCTGGTGATGTGCTCTTTTATGCAAAGAATATGCTAGAAGGTTTGGGTAAAAAGGTAGGCCTGGCAGTGCTGGCACACACCTTTAATCCCGCACTGCAGAGGCTGAGGCAGGCGATCTGTGAGTTTGAGGCCAGCCTGGTCTACAGAGTGAGTTTCAGGACAGCCAGGGCTACACAGAGAAACCCTGTCTCAAAAAACCAAAGAAACAAAAAAAGATGAGCCAGCTCCCAGCAAGCTGTCCCCTCGTTTCCATGATCCTGTAGACCTGGAGGGGCAGAAACCCATCCAGTGGTCCAACCCAAGACGGTGCGAGGACACAGCTGTTGCCCCAGCACTTGGGAGGGCGAGTCTGGAGTCTGAGGTCATGCTGTAACTCGGGGGCAGGTCTGTGGCACACAGTGACACACTGACTACAGTTAGAGGGACAAGGGGCTCAGGCCTGAGTCCCACTGGAGGAAGGATACAGACAAAAAGCCAGTGTGAGCAGGCACCAGAACACGGCAATGTTGGTCTCCTGGACTGGGCCCAGCACAAAATAGTAGACCTCCGTGAAGAGGAACACACCGACAGAGTACACCGCGAAGTCCACAAACCACTGGTATTCCAGAAAGAAGCGCAGGACTGCAGGGACAGGAGTCCAGCTGCCTACTGCAGGCTTGCCCATCCCCACCTCACCCCCAGGCAGGGTGACCCCATAGCTGGGGTGGGGAGTAGGTGCTGGACCGGGTGTTACCTAGGGCATCCGCAGCAGTGAGGGGACAGGTCTGCAGCTGGAAAGGGGCGTCTCGAGGCACTGACAATGGCTTCTCGTCATGAAGGCCATTTGCCCACCTGAGCACATGAGGACAGTGAAAGGTGGGCCCAGCGATCTCCTCTGGGCCTGCCAGAGAACCAGGACGGTGCTGGCTTGGGAAGAATCTTCAGCTACATTAGGTGTGGGGGCAGCCTAGGCACAGGGCCAGCCCAGAGCAAACAGCCAGGAATCCCGCACCGCAGCAGGAAGGCGGGTCACGTCCCCCAGCCTCGAGCCCTCGCCCTCCAGCAGGAGTGAGGCCTGCCCCTGGGCGGGAGAGCATAGGAGAGCCTGGGCCCTGTGGAGTCAAATGGGGGCCACTCACCGGTCCTTCCTGCCTCTGTGCCTTGGTTTCCCTGCCAGCACCCGCAGTTCCTCCTCTGACGGGTGTATGTAGCGGAACAGACTGAGGATGAGAAAGAGTCGGGAAAGCTTGGCCTGGGGGCACGAGGCAAAGAACCCAAATTTGGTCTTGAGGACAGAGCCCTGGGCAGCAACAGAGGTACAGCAGGGCGGCCCAGTGGGAAGCTGGCCCAGAGTGCCTGGGAGTGGCCATAGCCCGGGAATTCTGGGGACTGATCCAGCCACAGGGGGCTAGGGAACCCAGGATACCCTTAAGTCTGTGAGCTTTTAGAGTCCAGCACCCCGAAGGCTGAGGTACCTCTGGCCTCCCCAGGTATCTGCGCTCCTGGGCACAACCCCACACGTGGAGACACACACCTACACATAATTAAAAGTAATTTCTAAAGAAGGAGAGAAGTAGGAACTGGGCAGGCTCTGCCCATGGCCGGCTGGACAGGGCTTACTCACCTGCCGTTACAGAGCAGCCAGCGGGCAAAGGAGCCATGTGGAGCCAGCCTGTGCATGAGGGTGGCAGCGAACAGGGTCACCACCAGCTGCACTCCGAGGGCCGCCTGAGGAAGCGGCTCTAGTCAGAAAGTTCAAAGCTCCCTGAAGTAACCCAAGCTATTTATAGGGAAGATAGGCGAATGGGGAGGGCTGGCCTCGGGCCCTGGTGGCAACTGGGATGATGCCAGAGTTCATTCTGGGGGCCCCAGACATCCTCCCCACACCCTCAGATGACGGGGCCTGACTTCTGTTTCTACTGTCAGACCCCTGAACCCCTTTCCCTGTGTATTTTTGTTTGTTTGTGAGCCCTGGTTGTTCCTATGCAGCCAAGAACCCACAGGAATCTGCCTGCCTCTGGCTCCCCAGTGTTAGGATCAAAGGCCAGAGCCACCACATCCAACTATTAAAGAATATTTCCTAGGCCAGCCTGGACTACAGAGCCAGTTCCAGGACAGGCTCCACAGCTACAGCGAAACCCTGTCTCGAAAAACACAAACAAACAAACAATGTTTTCTTTAGCTCAGTGGTTGTGGCGCACGTTTTTAATCCCAACACTCAGAGGCAGAGGCAGGTGGATCTCTGTGAGTTTGAGGTCAGCCTGGGGTACAGAGTGAATTCCAGGCCAGTCAAAGCTACACAATAAGGCCCTTTCTAAATAACAATGTTTTCTGTGAAGACAGGGTTTCTCTGTAGTCCTGGCTGTCCTGGAACTCACTCTGTAGACCAGGCTGGCCTCAAACTCACAGAGATCCATCCGCCTGTCTCTGCCTCGTGGGTGCTGGGATTAAAGATGTGCTAACTCCAGTCCCAGGAAATCCTACAACCTTCTCCGGCCTCTAAGGATAGTAGATACACACGGGGTGCACAGGTATACATACAAAACATCCATGATAACAAAATAAAATATCTTAAAAACAAAACGGAAAATCAAGCATAGTGGCACACGCCTGTCATCCCAGCACTCTGGAGGGAAAGGCAGGAGAATCAGAAGTTCGAGAACACCCGAGACTATGAAGAAGTTGTAGTACAACTTGGGCTACATGAGACCCTGTCAGGAAGCAAACACAGCTGCAAACCCTTCACTCCTAAGGAGTCCTGCACCACCGACTACACCCCACTTCCCTCGACCACCGGCCTCCGAGCCTTCGGGGTTCCTCTCAGCTCTGCCAGGTGGTCCTCCACCCACGCAGTCCCTGTGCCTCGCTCCACACGGCTGAAGCCCACACTGCCCCAGGGAGGGACCCCACAGGGCCTGCTCACCATGTCCGCTCCCGAGCGCACCAACGCACACGGCTGGAGGCGGGTAAGCTCCGCGGAACTTGGCCAATTAGAGACGAGATCCTGTTGACCGGCAGCCTGAGAAGCTGGTCATAGGGCTAAGAACGAGGAAGGCTTCGTAATGCCTGCCGGGAATTGTAGTTCTAACAGGTGCTTTTATGTCTGTTGTCTTTCCCACTTTTTTCTTCCTTATCTTCCTTCTTTTCTTGTTTGTTTTTCTTGACGTGTGCGTGCGCATTCGTGCAGACGTGTGTGTGTGTTTGTGTGGTGTGTGTGTGGGTGTGTGTATGTGACAGTTCCTGTGTAATCCAACTCTCTATGTAGACTAGACTGGCCTGAATTAAGGCACACACCACTATGTTGGACCTCCTCCCTCCTTTTTTTTAAATTGATTTTTTAAAAAACGTCATAGCAGGCAATGGTGGTGCACTTTTAAATCCTAGCACTCAGGAGTCAGAGGCATCACCTTGAGTTCAAGGTCAACCTGGTCTACAGAGCTTGATGCAATGTTTTTAAGTAAGGCTGTGAAATGTCAAGAATTAGATTTGGATTCCCTTATGCCGGATCAGAAGATGTTAATGAAACTAATGATTCATCCCTTCCAGACTCAAGCTAGTCTTGCTGAAATTCATAGCAACATGTGGGTACGAAATGGTCTGCAAATCAAAGGACAAACCATGACCTATGTCCAGTCTCATTTCTGCAATTCCATGATTGATCCAGACATTTATTTATTACAGGTCTGTGCTTCTAGACTTGATCCAGATTACTTTATATCGTCTGTCTTTGAAAGATTTAAGGAGGTGGACTTACTGACCATGGCTTCCCAGCACCACAATTCCGTACTTGATGTGGAGCATGAGCGGTCTGTGCTGGAGAGCACAATCACCTTCCTTGTGATTCTTCTGAGTCTTCGCTTACACTTAGGAATGTCTGATGACAAGATTCTCAGGGCAGAGATGGTGGCCCAGCTGTGTATGAATGACAGGACACATAGCTCTTTGCTTGACCTCATCCCAGAAAACCCCAACCCCAAAAGTGGTATTATTCCTGGAAGTTACAGCTTTGAATCAGTTTTATCTGCTGTAGCTGATTTTAAGGCTCCTGTTTTTGAACCTGGAGGCTCTATGCAACAAGGCATGTATACTCCTAAAGCTGAAGTCTGGGATCAGGAATTTGACCTCGTCATGGTCATTCTTCGAACAGTTTACCGCCAGGATGTGCAATCTGCCATGGACAGATATACAGCCTTTTTTGACTTCCAGTCCGGCATAACACTGAGAAACCTTGACTCGAAAAAACAAAAAATAGGAGCTGGAGAGATGGCTCAGTGGTTAAGAGCACTGATTGCTCTTCCAGAGGACCTGGGTTCAATTCCCAGCACCCACATGGCTACTCACAATTGTCTGTAATTCTAGTTCCAGGAGACCCAAAACTCATGGCAAAACATCAATGTACATCAATGAAGGCATAAGTCACAAACAATGCCACACCAGTTTGGAATTATGATTAATAGGGTGGTATTTATTTAAAGAGGAAAAAACTTACAGATAACTGTCCCAGACAACAGCCCTCTGCGCAATCAAAAAGGAGTCTAGTCGCCGGAAACAGAGCAGGAAGTGAAGAGGACGAGAAGGGAAGTAGCCGCTTTTTTAAAGGGAGAGAGACCACGCCCCAATGGGCTGGTATCTCAGCGGCTATAGGCTGGAGGAGCGGAAGGACCTCCAGCAACACCTCCCCCTTTTGTTTAAGTAAGAGAGTTCTAAACCTACTACGAAATTATATACAATAAGTACAGATATCCTATTCTAACTTGCTTAGCTCTTGTATAATAAATAACTTGGCCAAGTCATGAGAGAAAAGTAACTACATTTATATAGTCTTCAACCCCATCGAAGATCTGAGAAGGAAAATAATGTTACCTGGGTAATTAGGAAGTTCAGTAAAACAACTTCCAAAACATGCTACAAATCACAGAGACAACTAGCTACCTGGGCAATCACCCAAAGTCATGTTTGCAGCGTTGAAGCAACCAACTTTGGCTAAGGCCTAACATAACTGACATACCATTTTCAAAGGCAAGCAACTTTCAAAACTATCTTACCCTGTCTTGGCAGGATATGACAGTCCTGTTTTATCCATTGATGCATGCTCTGTATCTCTGTCAGTGGTTGAGGTATGGGCATTTCTTTGCCCCAAGGCCAGTTCTGCCAAAAAGAAAGGCTCCAGGTGGAGTGTCTTTGGTGCTCAACATTCTCTCGGGAATAGAGTGGTGTTGCCAGGAGCAATTGTGTCTCACTATCACGAAACTCTGAGTTAGATTAAAGGCCATTTTCTACAGCTCTTTGAAGAGGTTGAAGATTATCTATCTTTACTGAGTATAATCTCTATATATCTAAAGTACCTGATTAGTCTAATTATAAATGACAAACTTAGATGACTATTAATCTATATAATTCTCAATATCTATCTAACTTAAAGACTAAGACAATAAACAACTGTGTAACAAATGAGGATAATGACCTCCAAATATAAACACTGTACAAATATACATTGCAATATGGTAAATATATATCAATACACAAACAATATATAAGTATCTTAATCAGAGGTAGAAATGTACACTGTAATATGGTAAATATATACAATATATATATATATATCAATACAATATATGTCAATACATAAAAAATGTTTTAAACAGAGGTAGAAACATGCATGTATACAATAGTCAATATAATTTAACTTTGTATCAATATACAAGAATCGATACCAATATATCTGTCTAAAAACAGTAACTCACAATTACAAATCTATTATCCCATCATCCCTCTTTTTTTTTTCAAAATGATCCCTGAGCTTATAAAATTCCTCCCCCAACCCTCAACCATATACTAATTATAATCAACCCCTAAATAATGTCCCTAAACCCAAGGGCAATCTTTAGTGGGAGAGGGGACATTGTCCTCTAGAATTACTTCCAGGTGTCATGGGGAAGACGTTCTTTCTGGGGAATCCTGTGAAAGTAAAATGATGGTTAAATTTCAAGATCAATGTCTTTTAAAATTGCAAATAGTCAGCCGGGCGGTGGTGGCGCACGCCTTTAATCCCAGCACTCGGGAGGCAGAGGCAGGCGGATCTCTGTGAGTTCGAGACCAGCCTGGTCTACAAGAGCTAGTTCCAGGACAGGCTCCAAAACCACAGAGAATCCCTGACTCGAAAAACCAAAAAAAAAAAAAAAAATTGCAAATAGTCTCTGAGTATTTTGTGCAGGTCTGGCCAAAATGTTGTATAAGATGTGCACCATTGCAGCTAACCAAGTTGGAACTGTCTTGTGCAGCTGGTACCCAAAGCAGGTCTTGTAGTAGCGCTATCAGTATCATGACGTCATATCAACCAGGTGGAGTTGTTGTTATAGGGCCCCATCTTCTTCTTGGAAACCTCAAATGTCAGTTCAGGAAAAACTCATTGTTCATTGTGAAAAACTTAAACATTAATCATATAGAAATATATAGACATATATATTCAATGAAAGGCATGATAGATATATTCAATGAAAAGTATGATAGATATGAAGAAAAGCAAAGATGTTTTCTAAACTCATATTTCTTTCTGTCCCATATCATTGCTCTTGACATGAGACAGAAACTCCAGAAACTCTGGGTTTTTCTCTTACTAACAGGCTTGGAATTGGAGAGGGACTGAGCCAGAGTCTAACTTCAAAACCAGCTCTATAAATTTAGAAATATGGTTTAATATATTTTACTTACACAACCTATTCAGTTTTCTTGATATTTCCTATTGGGCAGGTATTTTTCCATCTGTCAGTATCCAAACATCCAGGGTCCCTTGAATTTTTCAAAGATGAGTGTTTTCCTGTGGAGATAAGAACAGAACCCTGCCCCCATTCTATATGTTTTTCTTACCACCTGTATGAATATCATCATTGTAGATGAGTTGTCATTTCTCCTTTCCAATCGAAACTTTATTAATTTTGATGGTATCCACAATTTTCCTTCTCCTGTGGAAACAAGAGCAAAACCCCTTCCCCAACGTAGCACATCTCCTGGCTTCCATTGAGAGGTCAGCACATCTTTGAAATAAATTGGTTGATTTAGTTCAGCAGACTTTTCCATTATCCAGTGTCTTTCTGCTGCTGTCGTTCCTTTCTCATTAGCGTTAAGAAAATTCAAGGTTGGGGCTGGAGAGATGGCTCAGTGGTTAAGAGTATTGCCTGCTCTTCCAAAGGTCCTGAGTTCAATTCCCAGCAACCACATGGTGGCTCACAGCCATCTCTAATGAGGTCTGGTGCCCTCTTATGGCCTGCAGACATACACACAGACAGAATATTGTATACATAATAAATAAATAAATATATTAAAAAAAAAAAGAAAATTCAAGGTTAATAAAGCATTATGTAATCTATTTCTGGGGGTATTTTCAGTCCCTTTCTGTTTGTTCAGCATATCCTTTATAGTACGATTCGATCTTTCTATAATTGCCTGACCTGTTGGATTATTTGGTATACCTGTAATGTGTTTTACATTATAATAATCAAAAAAGCATTTCATTTTCTTAGATACATATGCTGGACCATTATCTGTCTTTATTTGTGCAGGTATACCCATGATGGCCATAAATTCCAATAAATGTGTGATTACTGAATCAGCCTTTTCTGAGCTCAGGGCAGTAGCCCATTGAAAACCTGAATACGTGTCTATGGTGTGGTGTACATATTTTAATTTACCAAATTCCATAAAGTGGAACACATCCATCTGCCAGATTTTATTTCTCTTAGTACCCTTTGGGTTATTCCCTGCAGGCAACGGTGTTTGATTATAGAAAGAACAAGTAGGACATCTCTTTCAAATGTCCTTAGATTGTTGCCAAGTAATGGAAAATTCTTTCTTTAGGCCTTTACTATTGACATGATGCTTCTTATGAAATTCTGAGGCCTGCAACACGCTTCCAATCAATAATTGATCAATCTCAGCGTTGCCTTGG